AATTGCGACATGAGCATATTAAAAGAAATATTTCATACAAATACTACGCTAAAAGAATTTTATTATTCAGAAGAATTAATAAGAGTTCGAAGATCGGAATCGGGGCCAACATCAGAACTGCATTTTCTCTTGAATCGCATAGATCGCTTTGGACTCTTGAATCACATGAATCAAATACTAATATTTCTTGTAACATACGTGCTTTTTTTAGTCTGTTTACCTTTGGTTGGTTTCATCTATATTATGTAGGTTTGTTTTAAAATGCTGAAATAACACACATTAATATTAAAGATTAAAGTGCATAAATAGAATTGTTTAAAGTAGTATTGTATTATTGATTTATTTTTTAATTGATGAGACTTCTGGTCGAATATTAAAAGGTTAAATGCCGCAATCAACCAACAATCAGTAATAATCGTTGCAAAAATTAATATTGTTAAGACAAATGTTAATGTTAATAGTGCTATGTGGATATATGTGTTGCTAAGTAAATATTTATGTACTCTAAATTTTATCAAGAATATTGCCAGATTAAGCCCACAAGCGAAAATACAGAATTTCGTTGTGTCAAATTTTACCCATGAAAATTGATATCACATGATTTAATCAAATCCTGGACATTTCAAAAGTACAATAACATAAATCCTGTTTTAGAAGTGACATATTACCTAAAGTGAAACGATCTATCGAACGATCAGAATACCAATCGTAATTACAATTCTTCCGGTTAAATCCAGTATAATAAAAATCTTCACTATTCACACACCCGAAACATTAAAAATTATCTTTTATTTATAGATTTTCGCTAGGCAGCATTCATATTTTAATAATTTCACTAGTACCCGCTAGTTTTGAAATATTTTGAATTATTTGCATAATAAATATTACCGTTTGCTTAAACCCTCGAAATGACCTTTTTGTCGACTTTTCAATAGTAAATTAAAACAAAAATTAATAATAAATCATAAGAAATTGTAAACTTTAAAAAGTTATACTGTAAAATTTTATTAATACAACTGCTTTCATTTTTAAGTGGAAAATGACTAATCTTATTTTAAATTGATTTATGTAAAAAAAAAAAATTGCCAATTTCCCCTTTTGCAAAATCTTGCCTATATATTATAAATTAGCTTATAAGCCAAATAAGCCTTATCGGGTTTATGGGGTATAGTTAAACCAGTCTCATTTAGAACACTAATTACATGTTAAGGCATTAGATCTGCACTTTCGGATTTGACAACTCAATTTCAAAACTCGCTTTTAAATCTTATATTTTCCCATTCCTGATTTCGACAACGTATTTACTTATTGAATTATATTTACAGTACAGTAGTTCCTATTTTAGTTGAAAACTGTGATTTTACAAATCTTATTTGAAATAACTACAAACAAAAAAGAAAGAAAGGGGTTATTTTGTTATATTTTAGTTTTTAAGAACAGCATTTTGAATAGAATTTATAATTTACCAGCTCATACTAATAAAAAATACAGTCTTTCTTGGTTATGATTCCGGATCTGATTCCGAATCCGAATCCGGACCTGATTCCGAATCCGAATCCGAATTTGATTCCGGAATTGATTCGAGTTTCATGCATCTTTTGAAGCAAGTATATTCGGATAATGCATAAGCAGTCGGAAGACCACATACTTCTACGCATTTTCCTTCTTTAGTATTCCAAATATCTGGATGTACTGATTCCGGAACTGATTCGAGTTTCATGCATCTTTTGAAGCAAATATATTCGGATAATGGATGATCAGTTGGAAGACCACATACTTCTACACATTTTCCTTCTTTAGTATCCCAAATATGTGAACGTTCTGAGGCACTAGGATTGGTGAAAACTGTGACAACTGAAAAGAGCAAGAGCAAAAGGTAACAAAGTTTCATATTGTCAATGATGAGATGATATTGTCAAGTGGCTAGTTGGGCTCAGTCTTTATATAGTTTTGTGGTAGATAACGGTTTTGAACGATAAGTACTGTATTTGGCCTTAAAAAAACTTCAAACAATTAGATTAATTACATAAAACTAATATAGTAAAGGGCCAATTTTCTGAGCATGATTGTTACTTTAAATAAATTTACCGACATATTACATGGACCGTGCGTTATGTGGGATATCCATGGGCGCATTAATGCACTATTTTTAGAGAATTTAATTTTCATGTTCAATTCTCACTGATTTAAAAATAATGCAGGTTAATTTTTAAGTCGGTTCATTGTTAAAAATATTAAAAAATTATTGCTTTACTATTTAAATATATAAAAAAATAATAATTTCGTCAAGTTAAAAGAAATTAAATTTTTTTTAATAATTATATTTTTATGGATTTTATAATTTGTTATTATGGCGATGTATCGCCATCCCTGATCAACCAATTAGAATGCAGATCAGGTGTAACGTGAAATCGAAACGGTTACGATTTTTTTCAAAAATCGGCTATAGCACGAAATTTTGCTTATGAAACCATCTCTCGTGCTCTAACAAAAAATGTTCCTCTCAAAATTTTGGGCTAGTGCTTCTTCGTTAGAGCGCCTTACCCTAATCCTAACCTAAACAAATGAATTAATTTATTGGTTTATTTCACGTTACACTAGATCTTATAGGGTGCGATATAGCGTATAGGCGAAAAATGATAAAATTCTATTTTTATTTGTTTTTTTAAAGAAAAAGATTTAAGACATTAAATAATGTACTTTAAATATCATGCGGGTCTTTTAATAGTTGGGAGTTACAGAATTAAAAAAAAATTAGTGTACTTGGAGATAAACGAGAATTTAAAAAATCTTATTGGGTGTATCAAAATTTTATCCCATTTGACGAAATTAGTAAATTTCTTCGATTAAGTTTATTGTGGGCGACCCCTCCCATTTGGAACCGTGGTGTGACAAACTATTCTACGTGACAAATAATAATTAGACAATACAAATAATAGTAAATTCTTATTCGTCACATGAAGATTCGTCAATCCCCTGTGCTAAATAGGGTGACTGGTGTTATGGCAAATTTTTTTAGTATACTAACTTAGTCTATAATTAGTCTTTCTTTAATCTCCCCGTAACTTCATAACTTTTTTTTCGATCCGGGGTTTTACTGTTAATCGTTTAGGCAGTAGTAATTTGGTTAAAGCGTTATTAAGAAGCTCCTCATTACGTTGTAACCAAAATTCTTACTATTCCAATAAATTCTGGGTCAAATGATGTTCATCATATTACACAAACACGTTAGTATGCATATGTTGGTAACATTAAAACACAAATATAGACACGCGTTTGATGGACAAAAATTTCCAAATTCTATTTCTGATAAGATTTACATCCCGGCAAATTTATGAAATAAGAGCATTTTGACTTACTATGAAATGCGTTATTTACTATTTGGTTTTTGACGTTTCTTATTGTAAAATCATGTAGATAACGTCTAACCCATCTTTTCATGGGAAGATGGGTTAGACAATCTATATGATTAGAGGTCCAATCCGGATAAATCCGTCATCCATTTATCCGTATCTGAATTATCCGGATAATTCAGATCGGATAAACAGATCCGATATCCGGATAATCCGACTGATATTCGGATAATTATTCAAATATCAATAATAAACAGATATCCGCTATCTGTTATCCGAGTATCCGACCTGAACTTTATTCGGATAAACTCTATTCGGATTGGACCTCTATATATGATTTTACAATAAGAAATGTTAAAAAACAAATAGTAAATGACGCACTCTAATTTCATAAATTTGCCATAATAATATTATATATATGCACGTATATCAAAAAAAGTAAATTTTGACAAGATTTTTACAATTGAAGCACTTCAGGAAGGTAATTTTTGTATCACTTACCATAATACTTAGGATCCTTCGCTATGCTCCGGACAATGACATGCAGTTAAGTTTGAGTACTGTAGTTTGCATTAAATATTCTATGAATTTTTTATTGTAAATAATTCTTTTACAGAACTTACTTGTTATTTTGGTGACCACAATATGTGGATACTTTACATTGCATTCTATTAAGAGTTATGATATAAATAATTTTATTACAGAAGTTATTTGCTATTTTAGTATTAAAGTGAGTTAGTCTTCGCAATAAATTTGTCGAAATTTCGTTCTTGAGTTACTTAAAAAATTTTGTTATAGAACTTACTCGCTATGTTGGTGAGCACAAATAATGTTGAATTAGCTTA